TTTTTTTTTTGGACTGTTTTTTTTTTTTTTCGCCCGCTCGCACCGATTTTGGGGTCCCCAGAGGATGTCATCCATAAAAATAAAAAAGTGTGGCCTAACTAATGGTTATTGAATCCATTCCGATATTCAAAGTTAGTCCCTGTTTTTTTTCTAAAAAGTTTTTTTTTTATGTAATACTCTCTTAAGAGACTATTACATAGTATAGCCATCTATGGAGGTCACATTGTCCAATGAAAGGCACAAATTCCAGAAAATTGCGTTTAAGGAACTGCCTTTTTGGTAGTAAAATAGAATTTATTATTAAATTTCTGTGCCTTGTTTACAATGTATTTATTGTGAAATATCAATATCACATGACCAGCTGTTATCTCTTTAATTTTATTTCTGAAGCAGGTGAAGTTTTAAGGTTTCTAATATTTTCTCAGCTCGAAGAAACTTCCTGTTATTTTAATCCCAATTTTGGTATCCTAATTAATATCCATAGTCAATATGATATAATTGGAGCCCGTCGTATGTTAAGTAACTATGCATAAAGAGTATATCCATTTGTTGCATTTTCCCTTGACTAAATTGTGAATTCTTCTGAAGACTTTTAAATGAAATCATTTTGCCTGCATTATATAATATAGACTATTAGAGTATAAGAATTCTTTCCCTGTTCAAAATATTTAATCTTATTATCACCTCTGCTAAGGAGCTCACGCTTTTGTCTTTGCATGTTAACGGCCTATCTCAATAAGTCATGGACAGTTTTATTATTTTTTTAATCAGGATACTGAGGTGATGACAATATTCTCAGAGTTTTTTTAGTAAAGCATTTTGTTATTGGTGCAATTGTCACTTATAATCATGGTGTTTGGATCTTTGTAATCTCCATCTTTGTAAACCTTTCACTTTAAAAATTTAAGTTTTACTTTTATATTACAAGTAAACAAACAAATAGTAGATAAACAGTTTGTACTGTGGCAGCTATATAAAACTGACAAAAACTTTTTGGAAGTAATTTTTACATATAGGACAGTGTTTTTTATGTCCAGAAATGCCTAATGTCAAATTATCTTGTTTTCATGTTGTATTCTTTTCAGAAAAGTTTGTAATAATATATTTTTCAATATCTGCAGCCATGTTACTCAAGTTGGATACCATATCCTTGTTGGTATCATAAAAATTTTGTATAACTGATCTATGTGGATTTAGTCTGCTATAACTGATCTCTGTGAATTTAGTCAACTTGGACACATTTTGCTAAGAGGTCAATCAGAGTTGAAGAATTAAAAAAAAGTTTTTACCTCCGAGTCAGACTTCACTTTTAAAGCACTGCTGAATGTATCTGTGATGCATGTAAACTACATTGCTGCTTGTGGAATTGTCACTTTTCCATCTTAATTCTGTTATGCAAATCTTATTGAAAAATTTAACAACTTTTGTTGGTTACTTTTTATCATTCACATTCAAAGAAAGTGAATGTTTGACATGGATTATTTGTATGTGGAATCCCATGTAATGGGAAAAGGGAGAAAATGGTCCACTATAATATGAAATAAACCACATTACTATTCAACCATGATGCCTTTTGTTTCAAAATATTGATCTACATACGCTTAGTAGATAGTTAAAAATGTCAAGTTACCAACACAAAGAGCAAATTTTTATTCAATATGTTTTAAAGAATTATTTACAGTTATGCAATAAAAATTACATTACATTTTCAACAACCTTTCATATTTAATTTAAGGTTAAAATACAAACATGTAACTAAAATTTTTCTATGGAGACAATTACTTGACACTTGGTACCAACTTTCATGACAGCAGACTACATACAGAATTTCTTTTCCCTACTTACTCTTTCCTGTTTCTAAGATCCCTAATTTTGATAAGTTTACTGGTGAAAATCGCTTTGGAACAAAATTTCTGAATTGCTTTGTGATAAGAATAATACATAACTTTTATAGAAACTTTGTTCCAAAGTAATTTTCATCACCAAAAACTACCAAAAACAAAGTCTTACATGCTTAACTTGAACCGTCTTAAAATCTACCGGCAGGGGTGGATCCAGAGCTATTTGCTGACAGTCTTCCAAATTATCTTTGTTGATCCATCCTCTGTGGATTTTGATTCTTATCCACTCAACTTTTCTCATTAAGTGTACAATCACAACATTTTTACATACATACATCAGTCAAAATTGCTGTATCCTGGAATGCATTTTTTCACCAAGTGCCACACCAACATCATCTAGGGTACCCTCTCCCGTAGGGACTATTAGTCTTTCCACAATGAGACTTAGTTTGTGAGTTTTGCAGCAACTTCGAACCCTGTTTATGAGAGTTTTGTTGCGTGCCAGAAGAAGAAGAAGGTACACTAAAATCTAACGGTAGATCTGGGTTTTGCTCCATAACTTTAAGTTTAGCTTCTATGGCACGAATCTTGGTCTCTTTGCTGTAAAAAGAACAATTTGCTATATTGAAATATACACAATATCTTTACTAAGTGAGGAACTGGTGATAAAATGGCAAGACCAGCCTAAATAACAGTTATCAAGATTCATATGAATTTCTAGTCTAGTAGGCAACTTAAATCAAAAGATACCTGATTCCATCATCAGACTGTTTGTTGATCTTCACTCCTAACTTCTCATTCACTGGATCATCCTGGAGGTACAGAGTATATTGTATGTTCAGCCATGAACAAAAACTTCCGATAATGCATTCTTTGCCAATTTTTAATCAGTTATGATATAAGGGAGTTAACCAATGTCAAAACCTGAGTTTGTCAATAAAAATTGATTTAAAGTTTGAAATTTAACTTTGCTGCTATGTCATCAACCTATTCTTAAATATGTGCAATATATAACAACCCCAATAATGCTGTTTGGTATCTCCTAATCTTTTGTTCCATTTTAATCTCTTTTACCTTTTTGTCTGTATTAGCCACCCGTACTACCAGTTTCTTGGACAGAGCAAACTTCCCATTCAATGACTTGGTTGCAAATTTGGCCTCCTGTAAAAGAAATGTTGACAGTTGAAAATTAAATGTTGTTGCTCTTTTTCTGGTAAAAAAGAATATGTAGTCAACGCAATTACTGTCCTGCATTTGTTTTAACTTTTCACAACAAACACAATTCGAAGTATAATGCCATGCACTGTTGTACAAACATAAAAATTCAAGTTTATAGAATATGAAGAACATAAAACATATGTTTACATACATCTATAGTTTGGTAAGTGACAAAGCAGTATCCTCTAGGCTTGCCTTGGTCTGGGCCTGTCTTGTGGTAGAGAAAGTCTAATTTATTCAACCGCCCATATTTCTGCAACAGCTTTAGCAAGGTAAACCTACAAATATTATTCAATTAAAAAGTGATATTGATAAACATTTTTTTCTCTGACAAATCATGAGCTCTGATTGCTTTTATGCTAGGACTAGTAGTGTTTATGTTTCAATTCTTACTGTAACAACAATATCAGGTGATAACACTATCCATTTTTTATATAATTTTATTTAAGTTTCAAGTTTTTCTTCCTACTTCACTTTTTATATGTAACTTATTAATACGAAAACAATTAAATTATTTAAACAATCAAACCACATTTTACTTAACAATCACCCACCCCTTCAAAAAAGACAGAAAGAAAAAACTCCCAATTAATATTTTCTCCCATACTCAAAACTTATTGGCATTTCGATGAATTTCAACCTACTCTGTGATCCTGGGGTCAAGGTTGCCCACCCACAGTCTCCTCTCGTCCATCTCTTCTCCATCATGGTACGGCTGGAGGGGGACAGGCTGGGAATAGCCTGGCTGGAAGATTGGAAATGAAAAAAAAAAACAGAATCAGAATCAGAACACTATATTTATAATTCCAATTTTCCAATCATAATAATAATATTTAAATGATCTTGGTGGGAAATTTGTTTCTTAATTACAGCAAGATATCAGTTTCAAAAAATAGTTTTAAAATTGCCACTGGAAAAAGAAAGATATTAACTTAGGAAGAAATCTAATAATGCAATCAGTAATGAAGCATGCTATCTTACTTGACATTGGGCTTCATTTTCACAAATAATTACTAGTAATTAGGTATGACTTTTACTTTTTATATGTTTAATTATTTATATAAATATTATAGAATAAACATCTGATTAAATGCCTGTTTTCAAAGTTTGAGGATTATCCAATAGGTGTCACTATCAGTGCTGGCATAAACCATTTCTGGCAGAAGCCTGGCCACTCCCATCAGGTGATTGACAGCAGTTAACTTAAGTGGCAGGTACCTACTAAAATCTGCCCACCTTTCACAAGTCTTAGAGTAAGAGCAACCTTGAAGCTTTCAGGCAGTTTTTTTCTTACACACAGCCAAAACACTTAATTAAAAACTTTTTGGTTGCAGACAAATGAAACTCTCTCTTTTTCTCATATGTGGCACAGTAAAAACATTTCGAATTTATCAATCCATTTATTACCTCACTTTCCAATACTTTTAATATGCTTGCGGTGATAGTGACAATAACAGATAATTATACACAACTTGAAGGGAGTAGGTCACGAAAAATGACTCAAGTATAAACTTTCAGGCTTGTTACACCCTCATTACTTGTTTTTCTCTTCTTTTTTCACCACTGCACATTTGAATTTATATTCTACACACACATCCAAGTGACAAGTATTTATTTTTCCTGTCTAATTGGTCCCCCTGTGTTCTGAGTCCACAGCAATGGCCAACCGCAGGGTGGACATACAGGAAACTTCTTATGTCCTGTTGACAATCTCTATTTTAAAATTATTTTCTAGAATATTCAGGTCCTTTTTCATCAGCCCTTTAAATGCCATGACCAGAACAAAAACCTCTTAAAAGTATGTCCATGATATATTATTGTTTCTAATAGTACCTTGATATGCATACATGTATTTCTTATTTTCATTTAATTCCAAGTTGACAGGTAACTTTTAACTTACAACAACCCATATGCAACTATAAATACCTCTAGCAGTTTCAAGTAAATAGTTACAGCTACATTCCATTTGACAGGTACCTTATCCATACGTATGCTTTTAATGCAACTCTATGCACCCTCCTCACATGAAATAATCCCCCAACATCTACAAATTCAGCATCCATACTAGTACAAATAAGTAGTTTAATACAACAGTGTTTCCAGTCATCTTGGGTCAGTGTAACTTGATTTTACCCTTCTAAGCTTGCCCGCTGATTATGATAAGTTCACCAAAGCTAACAGTACTGACTAATCCTAATATTAATGCCTGTGCGTGTGGGGAAAAACTGAGGGATTAAGTTTAAAGCTGTGGTGAACCAGGGAATTATATCGGATTCGATCCGATATAATTCCCTGGGTGAACTAACCGTTTTGAGATGGCCTACTAGCAATAGCAACAGTAAGCCCAACTTGAATGGAAACATGTTTTTAAAGAAGATTTATGAACAAGGTTTTAAAAGGTTACCACCTCTTATTGTAATTGCTGATATATATCATACAGGTGGGGCACGCCGGGTGATAAATCTGACACAAGGTCACATCATGCCAAAAGTACATCTTAACGACAGCAGAGACTCCCATCAAGTCGTCAGACGACTTTGCAGAACAGTCCTTGTTGTTTTCTGGAAGTCACGAGTCAGTTCTGATGAATCAAATTAGTTTCTAATTTAGCTCTTTATCTTGACAGACAGGCTTTAAAATGTACAAGTTCTGTTTTCTGGAAACCTCAAAATTTTTCCAGTGGATTAACTTTTTTTGGAATATAAAACAGACTTTTTACTTTCTCATTTGTGAAATACTATTATCAAGCCACAATACATATGATGACAGGACAGGTCTGCAATGTTTCTGATTTTTAAAAAAATCTGTTGTTTTTTCTTGATCATTGATTACTTTGATCCAAATCTTTTTCATGTATAAAATATTCTGTATCAATTAAAATTTGTTTCATAGGAATTCATACTGGATTTCCTTTAAAACACCTCTTTGTGAATTGTTTTAATATTACAGATAAAATTGATCTGTTTCGGTTCATCAGGCTTTACAATGGCCTTGTTGTTCTACTAGTAGGGAAATTCCCATTATTTTTCATGCTGATTCAATTCTTCTGTGCCAGCATTTGAACTTGGCCATAAAAAAGTTTTGAATGCTATGAGTCATGAAAACAATTTGTCCATAATGCAGGTAATAATAGGAATTGTGTTGGATCTGCATTTTAAATTATATGAAAAAAGGGTGTCTTTTCCTGACACCAATTGTAAATGCATGCAAAATTATAATGATCTTCCAAAGTTGTTTGTGTAAAGCTTTTTAGAAGGTGCATTGCTCAAAGCTGAATTCTTTTCTTTTCCATAATCTCCTGCATCTAGCTTACTTGACAGTGTAGTTTTATTAAGATCAATATCCATACATGTTTTTCTTCCTTTTTTTTTACTTATCTTTGTTTGACACAGAAAGCTACAATATTGAAACTGAGCATATAGTAAAGGGATTCCATTTAAGCCACAAGTTCTTGCAAAACATATGTCATGGTGACCTTTTCTTCTCTTCCCATTTATACCAAAAATACTCCAACTGTTTATCTGTTTTCTTTTACCGGTTGAACATCCTTTGAAAATACATCCAAGTACCCAGAACCTCGTAAGATCAAGATTTCACTCATCAAGGAGATGTTTTTTTTTTATCCTGTCCAGACTCAAATATCACTTCTGAATCACTCTAGATGCTTTCCCTGCTAACTGTTCTTTAAATGGCAATAGTGCAGCAGTCAAATGCAGAGGAAAAACATTATTCTCAATTTTCGCTACCTGTTTTTCTCTATGAATCAACACAAAATTGCTATCCTAAACCATCAGTCAACTATTAGTAAGTTACTTAGGTATAACACTAGAACAGGTTGTTTCGCTTTGCTTCACATTCAATAACATATTTCTACAAGTGATTTTTACTAAACCAGACATGGCAGAGAAACCGCAAGGAACTGCAACCTCACGATGTCTGCTGAAATCAAGAGATTGCTGCACTGCTAAGGTATTGCTGACTTGAGAAGATAATCATTTTGGCCAAAAATTGAACATTCCTAGGGAAAACAACAATTTTTCCCATACTTACCAATGGCTAATGAATCCATTTCTACATTCAAAGTTAGTCCGTGTTTTTTTTTATTTTATTTATTTATTTATTATTATTATTTTTTTTTGTTTGTTTGTGTGTGTGTGTGTGTGTGTGTGTGTGTGTGTGTGTGTGTGTGTGTGTGTGTAATGACCTCTTAAGAGATTGTTATCTGACACAGTTAATCCATGGTGAAAAAACTTGCATTGATAAATTAAACAACCAAGCCATTGTGCAATGTTGACAACAACTCCTGATTAACTAAAAATAATAAAAAATCCTAATATTAAAAAGATTCAAAAATACAGTATTGTGAGACAAACATACAAGTGATAAAAGATACCAACAAATATCATCACACACTGTAGTCTGACCACGCAGGTACCCAAAGGCTACCTGACATTTTAACCTGCTGTGATCAAAGCAAAAAACAAGGTGGTCATCCTGACTAAAGGACATCATAGCCAGTGGTCATCCTGGCTAAAGGATATCATAGCCAGTGGTCAGCTGGCATCACCGAAGGCACTGCCCTGTCTCAAGCCAAGTGACCTGTGGTGAACTCCATGCCAAAGATGCTTGTTTGTTTGGATGAATTTGTGACTGGAGGTGTGTCTGCAATGTTTGCATGCACTGCATCTTTAGTGATTACTACTTAAATAATATTTATATCTTTTTATGCTGAGCAAAAAATATATAGTTATGATCATAATTTGAAATATTTAATTGAAAATGGATAGGTGAATGAATGAATAGATAAATAAATACATGATTAGCTTGTCCCAAGGACTAGTTTTTGGTAACCAAGAAAACATGCCAATGATACTCACAATAAATAAATAAATAAATAAATAAATAAATAAATAAATAAATAAATAAATAAATAAATAAATAAAATAAAATAAATAAATAAAATTTCCTGAAAGAATTAATGACCCTCCTACAATTAATTAATTTATTAATGAATAAATGAAAGAAAGAAAGAAATACTAGTACTGTAAAAAAAAAAATTAATTTTGTGACTCTCAATGAGCTAGTACTAGCACACAGTTGATCTTGGCAGAACCTCTCCTGCTACAGACACCTGTCTTCTATGACAAGGAATGTCTCATTCACTTTAAAGCAACCTGTAAAAGTGGCAAAATGCCCATCACACTCTGTCAGTGATTTATATTCACCTGCCATTTTGTCTGACAACTCACACCTAGTGTAAACCGGGGGTGGGAAATCTTTCATCTTCAGAAGTACACATTCACAGATTTAAGGTTCCTGTTTCATAACCATTGGTTTACAGAGTATCAAGACATAAATATCACTACGTAACACAGTCTTGGTATACATGTTTTATTTCTGTAGACATAAACTTATTATTAAATTTTTTAGATATATTTAAAGGGATAATAACTCTTCATATGAGATCTATATTTCACAATAAAAACATTGTGAATAACTCATAGAAATATAATATATTCTGTTTAACCACAAAAACGGCAGTTATAGCTATTATTCTGATATCTGAGCTTGTCTTTAGACCACGTGACCTCCATTGATGGCTATACTCTGTTTAAATCTCTTAAGAGATTTTAACAAAAAACCAAACTTTTTAGAAAAAAAACAGGGACTAACTTTGAATGTAAAAATGGATTCATTAACCATTGGTAAGTATGAGAAAATTGTTGTTCACTCCAGGAAAATTCATTTTTTTGGCCAAAACGAAGAGTTATTATCACTTTAACTAACTTTAAAGTAAACATGAAACTTTTTTTTTGTAAATAATAAAGAAAAGAAGAAAAGAAAATTCTAGCTACTGGCAAAGATTTCATATAATATGCAAATGTGCTCAGTTAGTGTTTCCTTTGAGTATCCATTAATACACATCTATCTGCAGGCTAGGGTGGTTAATAACCAACTTTTCTGTGTGACCTAGCTTTCTGTTATTACTGTTTAGTGTGTAACTTGGGGGGTTTTCATATTTCTTTGATGTTTATCTTTTCATGGGATATTTCTTCCCTAGCAAGTCCCAATGTCAAACTGAAACAAATCATCTTAAAAATGTTTGGGCTATTTATTTATTTATTTATTTATTTTACTATCAAATGCATGTGGTTTTCATATTTTCTAGAGAAAAGTTCAAAAGTCTCACACAAAAGAAAGCATCCTACTTTTACTGCCAATTCTATCTCTCTCTCTCTCTCTCTCCCCCCCCCCCCCAAAAAAAAAAGGGGGGGTTAAGATAAATACTGGGCTACAATTTACTAGTAAGTTCGAAATTTGAAAAAATGCATCTGTAGGGAAAATATTCAAGCTAAGATTCTGTAAGAGATTTTCCAGGAAGCCTTTACAATCTATGAAACTGGGCTCAATTTATTCAGCTGTTTCCAATCACCAATAGGTTTATACAATATTGTAAGATACCTTTTTTAAAAAACAAATAAGGAATTGGATGTTTCCAGAATCCTCAGAAAAGCCAATGGACGAGAATCCTTTATCTTACCAAATCAACAGTGCATAAATAAAAGAGAAAGCAAATATAACATTTCAAAGTGATAATAAAACTTGTTTTATTAAGTCTGAGCAGATAATTTTGCATTATATATATTGTATACATAAAGATACAGAAATGTTAGCACCAAATATCAGCATTAGTTAAAAATTACAAAATAATGTTAAATAACAATAACTTGAACGATGAAATAAAACCACATCTTCAAACAAAGTAACTATTCTCCACTCTTTCTCACATCAAAAAAAAAAAAGAAAATCTCTGACAAGTGTACCACTGTTAGTTGGCAAGTTCAGAGGAACTTCTAAAGGTGAAGACGAAATTACCTTCAAAATGCCAGCCCTGCAGAAATACAGTTCACTGCTTAACCAATTTTAGCAGCCGTCTGAGAAATCCATCACTCCCGAATGTCACCCTGAGTCAACAAGGACCCGTTTTCATTCTCTACCTACATTCTGTTATGCCCATATCAAACAGTAAGCTATGATTCTCAGGGTGATAACAAAAACCATCATCCAGGAGTAAATGTTATAAACTCTCAAAATTCTAACTTTGAAGGTTACGGCTCAATCTAAACTTTTGCCCTTCTCTATGCAGGCAGATTGCATTACACATTTCTTGTTAGAAGCTGGTTTTTCTGCTTTCTTAAGGTTTAAATGAACAATATAAACTAGTAGTTAAATGCATAAAGCTCTTTCCAAATGCCACAGAGCATAAATATATGTAAAAATAAACATATGACAGTTTTGCAGCTCAAATACAGATAAAGTAATCTTGCTATTCCAGTAAAAATTAACAAAAATTCAAACCTATAAGTGTCATCTTTTTAAATTATAAAAATGGTCCAATTCATCCAACACACACTTAAAAAAATACAAAAGTAAAATTTTTTGATTCTCAGCATTTCTTTTTTCCTTGTAAAATAATTAGATACTCGTTTTTCTTCAAGCTCATGAATACACAATGCCTTTATAGAATACACAGATGAAAATGTCTTTAATCAAACATTTGTGCAGATGAAGCTCATATCTTACTTTATGACACTAAAAAAAAACCTGTAATATTAATCAGCTCTTTACCTCAACAAGTTGTTGAAACCTTTTGATTCAAATTCCAATTCTTCTCAGTACCAAAGCAAACACATTGAACACTGTTCTAATTTTAGTCTCACGAATCAACAATCATGGGCCTTTTTTGCCAATTTTTTCACCTTTAATTATGGAACTAGAAAAGTGTTCTTCTAATGATGTTGGATAGCAATTGGTCGCTCCTTTGGCTTGATATGGCTCATCGATTCTGGCAGGGGGGCCTCCAGGGCTAGAACGCCGTCATGGCGAAGGGTAGACATAAGACTAGTGGCATCCACTCCTTCGGGAAGGGAGATGGTCTTCATGTACTCAGCATACTGATGTCTACCCTCTGCTTTCTCCTCATGTTTTGCATGGACTGTTACAGTATTTCCTGACGTCTTGACGATCAGCTCTTCAGGTCTGAATTGGTGGACATCAAACTGGACTTTGAACTTTTTACGTCCGCCCTCTTCAACCACAGGAAAGTCTATGCTCTTGTTTTCAGTCAGTCTGCGAGCTTCTGGAAATTCTGGAAACGTTAGAGCTGATGTTGTGGACATATGTGGTGCTCCGATGCTGGGGTAAGGCGTTAAATGGTGCAGGCCACCATACGTGTTGCGACGCATATCTTCACTCATTTGATTCATCTGACGGTCAAACTGGCGCCACTGGTGGGCCATTTCAGGGGGCATTGCACTCCAGTTGCCCACTGTCCACCTGTGGCGGTCAAAGTCACGGTCAAAGGGTGAACCATACCCAAATGGAGTGGTATCCCAAAAGATGGGAAGCCTGCCTGGGGTAAATGGCATCATTGGATGGTGGAAAGACATGCTGCAATGTGAAATGTACTGTCTCTAGGTACTTGTGCTACTTGATGCTCGCTTCTTAGAATCTTACTAGCTGGCTCGAGTCAGTGATGATCTGCTGATGTTCTGAACGTCGTACTATTCTGCTTTGCTTTTATACTTTTATTACTCTACGTCTGGAATATTCGCAATCTGAAAATAACGCTGTGGCTCACTGTGTTGACATCTGTCGACCAGGCCTTAGAAGGGGCGATATAAATGACGTGGAAGTATCAGCAATGATAGATGCTAGTAGCATTACAAATTCATTGAGGCGCCCGCCCCACCAAATACGTGAAGTGGGCAGGTAGAGATCACTCACTGCATACCAATGAGGGATAGGTACGCCCCTTTGAGAATTTGAACGGCTGGAGATAGGTACGTGCATTATTAAGTAAACTTACCGATATTGCACTCATGTCTGAAGACGCTTCTTGATATAAACTTAATTTGCTCCTCCGATTCCTGTCAAAGAACTCCAAACACCTGGTCTTTGTTGACATGAAGTTCTATAGATGTCGCCAGAGTGCCGTATTTGGAACAAATTAAATAGACTATAGCGCCATCTATAACAATAAATCATCTATCCCCAAATTAGTGACGTTATAAGCATTAAGCACAAAAACAGTGACGTTTTATACATCCATGTGTTCGTTAGGGGCTTTGCCGCAATGATAACGTTGATGTAAACAAGGTATTGTTTACGGTTTGATTTATTACTACAGCACACCTAATTAGAAAATTCTGCAAGAACTTTCTCAAGGTGCAATTTAATTTATGCCCAATGAAATGTTCTGCGCGTAAAGTAACCCCTCATCTGGGATATTTACGACACAGGCCTCCTATATGTAGGGGTCATGTCGATACTCCCCCGCACCGTTACTCCCCCGCATCCCCCTTAGTAATTGTTTTGTATTATGCGCATCGATACGACCCCACACCGATAGATCACCGCAACGGTACATCCCCGCACCGATACTCCCCGCACCGATACTCCCCAGCACCGATACTCCCCCTCAGTATATCTGTAATGGGGGCGTCTCGATAGTCCGAAGGTTCATTGGTCCGAAGGTTCATTGGTCCGAAAAGTGGTAACACTTTCATCGATTTTTTAATCAAGGGTTCATTGGTCCGAAGGTTCTATAGTGAACATTCG